GGTGAATATGCTGGTTTTGATGAGACACAGCCCACAGCTGATTCTGGTGGAAAAGGAAAAGTGATTAAATTTTTGAAGGAAAAATTTCATTTTAAGAAAATAATCATGATTGGAGACGGTGCCACTGACCTGGAAGCTTGTCCTCCTGCCGTATGTATTCAGGGCACGGATTTGGGTTTTTTCCTTTCAGCTTGCACTGTTGTGTTGAATAGCTGGTTTAGGAGGAGATGATCAACCAGAACAGCTGAGCATCCCTGGGCGCTGTGAGCGGCCAGCCTCCCACCTCGAGCTGGAGGGTGGACATTTGAGTCATCCCAGAGGCAGGTGGGAGGCTAGGCCTAGGGACTTTCTTCTGAAAAGTCAGACAGGAAACCAAGAGAGCTGAAATTGATTCAACTTCAAGTGGTAGTTTTTCACTAAAAATGAAAACAAGTGCAGTCACACAGTGTCAGTTGGTTTTGGGCAAAACCAAGAAAGGCCACATAGAAGGCACCAGGACCTTCTTAACATGTGAGGACCCCTGGCCCCTGCAGTAAAGCTGCCTTCTTGTCTTGGTTATCTGGTGTGGCTGTAACCGTTACCACAAGTGGATGGCTTTAACAGGAGAAATGTATTCTCTCACAGCTTAAAAACTCGATCTCCATCAAGTTGGAACCAACTCATAACTAACCCTTCATTGGGTTTCTGAAACTTTCTCCTGTGGAGCCAGCTAGTGGATTCGACCCCCCAGAGCAGCATGGCCTTAGGGTTAGCAGTGAGCTCTCTTTACAATAGAATTCCAAGTTCATGGAGCTGTAGAGAAAGGCTTTTTCTCTGGAGGAAGGTCCTTGTCTCTTCATAGCATGCTGGGGGCCCCTCATTCATTGGAAATCTCCATGCCCTGGCATCTCTCTTCCCCAAGGTCTAGAAGGCTCTCATCACAGGGAACCTGGGTCTAGCAGATCTCCAGCCCTCTTTATTGGTGGTGGTATTGAGATCCTCAGGGAGGGTCACCAGGGGTCAGAATCAACTTGATGGCAGTGGGGTTTTGGCTAATTCTTTTTCATTTACTTATTTTTAGTATTTTTCATTTATTTTCTTTCTTTTTAAGGATGTTTTCATTGGTTTTGGAGGAAATGTAATCAGACAGCAAGTGAAAGAAAACGCCAAATGGTACATCACTGATTTCGTTGAGCTGCTGCGAGAACTGGAAGAGTGACATCAGTTTCAATACGGTGGATTCACAGCCTCAGATTAATCATTTTTACCTGTGGAAGAGATTGATTCTGTTTGCCTAGCATTGCCCTCTGTAACCTCCTGTATACATTTGGTACTGACTGTGTAATTTCTGGCCAGCCTCAGGAAGGGCATCCAGAGAATCCCCTTATCCTCCTGTAGCTCCGTTTTTATTGTGATAACCACTAATTATCTGGAGAGTTTAAGAACTGAAATTCTTTTCTTTTTTTAAAAAAACTCTGAACTCGTGATCTATGTTCCTGGGAATATTTTCTCTGAAGCCTCTTAAAGATGGACAGTGAATTTAAACACTTTCTTTGAGAATGTGGATTAGGCAGCCGTGAGGAACAGCTGGTGTGCCAATGGCAATAAAAACTCACCCATGTATACATCAGATTTGTGGATTTACTTGTCAGTTGTGCCTTTCCTGGACTTAAGAGTTCCTATTTCAGGTAGTTTATATATTTTCATTTTTATTTGAGGGAATGTTTATAAATCATACTGGTTTTTCTTTTTTTTTATTTTTTTTCTTTTATTTTTTATTATTTGTGTGTGTGTACCATCAAATCAGATCTGGCTGGTACAGGAGGAGATTGTCCCTCCTTCTCCAGCAGAGCGCCTGGTGGATTTGAACTGTGCACCTCTGGGATTGCAGTGCCGCTTCTTGCCACTAAGCCACCAGAGCTTGCCCATATTGGTTTTTCATGCACTCATTTATATACACTTTGTTTTAGGACATTGTAATTATAACTTTATTTGTTCATACACATTATTATAACATTAGTATGATTCATTATAATGTCTGATCAATATATTGTATGTTACCTTTTCTTTCATCCAACTGAGCTACTTACTGATTTTTATTCCCCTTCCCTTTAATTATAGAACAGACTTCATGTCTTTGTTCATAGTGTCACTATGTATTTGGCTTGACGACACTTAGCCACTGCTCAGTGAGGCTGCTGTTGCTATATTTTGGAGGAACATTCTTCCACTGTGTACATCACTGTTTGTCAGTTTGCTGTACTGAGGTAACCTGGGTTTGCTGTGATGCTGAACGTGTGCCATTGGGGTATCAAATACCATAATGGTTTACCAGTGTGGACGGTGTTTGGTGGAGCTCCCAGTTGCAGGACAGGTTTGGAAGCAGGAGCGGCATCCACTTCTAAACTACATGCCTATGGGAACTCTGTGAACTTGGAGAAACTCAACAACCACCACCACCCTTCTTTTCCACCGCTGGCAACTGTCCCGAGTGAATTCTGTGTGTCGGCCTTTCCTTGGCTCTTTCTGGCAGGGACCTTTGCTGTGACCGTCTGTTGTACTGACTTGTTTGGCTTCACACGGTGCCTTCTGGACACGTCCATGTGATATGGGGTTTGTGCTACACGCTTGACTGAGATGTTCCTGGGTTTCTTTGTTCCAGCTGCCTTTCTGTGCCGAGCTCATTTTGTTTCTGGCTTTTCTTATTATTTCTCTCATTGCTATTGCTTAGTGTTTTCTTAGTCTGTGATCTTCCTATTTTTCATTTGAGGAGGTTTATGCATTTTCTCAGAGGTCACCCGACAAGTTATTATTTTAGTCCCAAATCTACAATAATTCACGTTTTGTTTTGTGGTTTTTTAAAATCTATTTATTTATTTTTTAGTTCACGTTTTTTTGAATCAGGTAAGTTACTTGTTTAAAGAGAAGGAGCAGGTCCAGTACGCCCCGTAGTGTTGGCAGCCCCTGGGTGGCACAGTTGTTTAAGCTCTTCGTTGCTAACCACTCCACGGTACTGCAGAGGAAAGGCCTGGTGATCTGCTTCTGAAACTCACCCCTTGAGAACACCGTGGAGCGCAGCTCTGTGCTGATAGTCAGTGCTGGTCAGTGTCCTCAGCACACGGGACTCTTTGTCCCCCTGTGAACTGAGGAAGCACCGAGCCAGACGGTCTCAAACCACATCCTGCCCGCTGCCATCGAGTTGACTGCAACACAGTGACTGGATAGGACACAATAGAACTGTCCCAGAGGGTTTCCACGGCTATAAACCTTAATGCGAGAAGACTCCTCTTCATTCTCCCATGGAGCAGATATTGGGTTTCAGCTACTGACCTTGTGGTTTATAATTCCAATGTTTAATCCACTGTGCCACCAGAGTTCCTTGGCCAAAGGATCAGATACTCCTTTTTATCTCTTGAGATTTGTCACCAGAGTCTTTTTTCAAAATAACCATCTTATATAAACAAACAAGGTGAATGCTTAAAATGAAATCAAAGAATACAAACCTTGCTTACCTGAAAGATAAGGCCAGCATGTCCCTTCCATGAGCTAGAAATGACCTTCATGGAATATCTAATCCATTTCTTTTTAACAGATGAAAAGACCCGAGAGCCACACGCGTCTCTGAGCAGGACCAAGAGAGGGATGTTGTAGAACATGCTTCAACAGTCTCCAACTGCAGGTGGCCCTCCTGTTAGCGAGATTGGGCAGGTACTGCGTCTTCACAGATGGGAACTGTGACAGTGCTGCACTGAGCACGTCGGTACACGCCGTCCGTCCCCCCAGCCTGTGCTCACTGCAGGTCTCTGTCTCATTTTGATCGTTCTCATAATCTTGCCAACTTTTTCTTCATGCAGCTGCAAATGAGATACTAAAAAATAGCCAACCCTTAAACCCACTGCTGTCCAATGGGAACTGACTCATAGCTGACTCTCGAGCAAACTTTCAGAGACTGTAAATGATGGTGAGAATTTTTCTCCTTCAGAGTAGCGGATGGATTCAAGCTGCCCGAGAGGCACCACCTTTGCTTTGGCAGCGCGACTCCCAACACACAGGCTACCCGAGCTCCAGACTGATGTTGTGGTTGGTTACGGTTGAGTCAGAACTGACCCAAAGCTGACCCTCCAGCAGGTTTCCAGAGGCAGGAAACAGCATGGGAGGAGACAGCCTATGTTTTTTGCTGCGGAGCAGCTGGTGGATTAGAACCGAGTGCCTTTGGGTTGGCAGCGTGGCTCTTACCCCTAGAGCACCCTGGCAAACTGCACAGACTACACAAACAAAAACTCTTGTCTTCTAAGTGATTCAGACAGTGACCTCCGTGGGGTTTGCGAGGCTGTGGATCTTCGTGAGAAAAGGCTGCCTCATTTTTCTTCCACAGAGTGACCGAGGGCGTCTGTCTACCAACCCTTCGGCCAGCAGCACGACACAGAGTGCCTTGGGCCACCAGGGCCCGTCTAGTAGCCTGCAGTGTGGTGTACATATAGCTTCTCTGTGCTCTGGGAAACCAGCAATGCCTGTGACTCACTCTTTTGCAAAGGTTTGAGCTCCACTGTCTGCCTGTCTGTCCCCTTCCTGTGGAAAGTGGGAGATCGTGAAGGCCGGCCTTAGGAGGAGGCATGCTGGAGCCTGCTGGATAATTACACAGAAAGGCCCACGAGCTGTTACAGTTGGAAAGGATTTGAAAAGCTTATCATTGGGCTCAACCATCGACGCTGGCCAAAGCATCGAGTAAGATTTTTGCCAAGGAACCGAATCAGAGGCAACCAATTTCCTTCGAAATCAGAGTTTCTATATGAGAGACACGAAGTAGGTTTGGCGAGGCTTGAAGGAGCCCACAAACAACAAGGCGATGATTGTTTGGTCCTGGCAAAGGCACTGGCACCTTGCCTGGAGCTGCGGTGGCATTTGTACACTCGGCAGTGCTGGGCAGGACAGGATCAGGCATGCCAAACTGGGGGCCTTGGCCTCTACCCGCAGCCAGGGCCCTGAGCCAGTGGGGTGCCTGAGCCTGTGGGGTGCCTGGTCCAGCTCAGCTCTTCAGACGGGAACAATTGCAGCGCCCCCAGGACCTGTGCACAGTCACGAGCCTCTCCCCTCCCCAGCCTTCAGCTCTGCACACAAGTGTCCACATAATCCCTTCTTTGTCATCCTGGAGAGAGGAGAACTGTGTTAACCTCTGAGTCTGAATGCCTGGAACTGCCCCTGAAAACCCCTGGAGGGTCAGCTTGTGGGTCAGTTCTTGCCCGGCGGCACACAGCAGCAAATGCCCGAAAAGGAGCTAGTGTGAAGTCAAGTAGGAAGACCGAAGGAAAACTGATGCCTTCGAGTGGTGGTGGTGAATATTGAATACACCGTGGGCTGCTGGAAGAGCAAGCAATTGTCTTGGAAAACATCCAGCCAGAATGTTCCTGGGAAGGAGGGGATGAGAGCACACGCATACTGAATGTGTTATGATGAGGGGCCAGTGCCTGGGAAGGGACATCAAGCATGTTAGACAAACAGGTTGGTGACAGAGAGGAAGCCTCTCGCTGGGCTGGGCTGGACGTGGCTGCAGGACGAGGCTCGGGCACTGCAGACTGCGAGACCGGCACAGGACCGGGCAGGCTCATTCCATTGCCCACAGGGTCGCTAGGAGAGGGATCTGATTCCATGGCACCTAAAACGGGTTTTTTCAGATTAAGGAACTCAACACTAAAGAAGTCCAGTTCCTAAAAAAATTAAAATAAAAATTAGAAGTCCAGTTCCTTGTCGGAACACAGCTTGCCCTTGAAAGCACCAGGCCTTTCTGACAGATCGTGACTCTGCTCCCCATACTACGCCCTCTCCCTGTATCCTGCCCCCAGAGGCCATGGGCTCAGGATTTCACTTTGCAGGGTCAAGCCCAGGGGGCCGGGCAAGCCTTTTGTGTGACACCATCACTTTCAGTTTGTATTCATATATTAGGGGAAAAAAAGAAAAGAGATTGCAAACTGCAGTATGTGAAAATTTAGAGTATTTTATTGACTTTTATATATCTTGCAGAAAACCATTCACATGTAAAAGTTGGACATTTGATATAAGATTTATTCACACTGTTTTACACATAAATTCTTTATTGGGGGAGTGGGGCAGACAGTTTTCATTTCAACAGGACTTTCACATGATTACAGACACAACATTGGCACACCTTATTGTTTTTTAAAAAAGGAACAAAAACCCAACAACACAATCAAACAGAGCTACTTGACGGGTATGTGGCTAGTTGCCAGCTTAAATCCCAACATGCACTTGTACGTGATCTTGGAAGTACCTGCTATAAGGTCGCTAAAATAGCCATTGGAGGTCCTCTGTGGTCACACATGATTGCTTACAAAATAAAACCTCTTTGCCTATTGGTTTCATGATAGAAAAATATCACAAATAAAAATTAGCACTATTCAACGTCTTCGTTGCCAAAACATCACAGATGTGGCCCGGGTGCTGTCCGCTCACTGCCTCGTGGGGAGAAGTCCCCAGACACTCGGTGAGAACTGAGCTGCTGCGATGGGGGGGCCTCGCTGGCCACCACTTCCTGCTCCTGGCTGTCTATGTGCCAACTGATTACGGGTGAATGAGTCCAAATTAAACCACATTTGGGCTGGTTAGTGGGACCACTTTTCATAGTGAGTGAGAAAAATCCTTACATAAACAGAGGGCAGTGGGGGAGAGGGGAGTGTACTTCCTGATGCCAAAAAACGTGTCTAAAATCTGTAAATATAAAACAGATTAGCTTTTTATAAAGAAAGGAATATATATTAAATATATTTTTTCTTTTCTTGGTAAGAGTCCTATTTGGACGTAATTTTTTTTTTAACCTCTTTTCCTGGAGGCTGGAAGTGGAGGTGGCTCGGTATTACAAAGAATGTTCCAGAAACAAAGGGGCATTTCAAAGCAAGACGACAGAGCCCTGCCACCACTGGGCACACTGCAACGGCTTCCTCTCTCCGAGCACGTAGATTCTAAAGCAAAGGGGCCTCTCTTAAGCTATGTACAGCGGCTGACACGCACACGGTGTTTCGCTGTCACATGATATACCGGGTATACCATGAGATGAACGGGGGACGGACACTTGTCACTGACATTCATGTAGGCACAGCAGCGTCAACGTGACAGCTCTACTGGAGGGGCGAGGTCTTCAGAGGAATCATGATTCTGGATTCCATTTCCTGAATAAGTGGGACTGAAAACAGGAGCAAAAATTACTAGCCTTCCTTTTTACATTTATTTAAAAGTTTACAAAGGAAGTTGGTTTTCTACACGCTTTTCGTTCCCCACAGTGTAACAGCACTTTGCCCACTTCCTCCCTGTGGGTACTGTTTCCACTCACCCTCCTTCCCTACCCCTTCCTGCCTTCTGAGTTTTATCCTGGGGTAAATACGGCTGAATGAGTAACTCCTGGTGTTCCTGTTCACTTAATAGCCCTGGCGATTGTTTGAGCCACAGGGTACTAGACATGGTCTCCTCTAAATAGATGAAGTTGCACTATTCATACACTAACAAATAAAAGAGAGCATTGGGCTGGTCTCAGGGGTGCCTGAGCTACTAAGTCCAGATCAGCCCACACCCTCTAAGATGTGATTAACATGGAAACAGATCTTGCTGGGGGGCGGGGAGAGAAAAATGGGGGTTTCTCAAAGGGTTCTGTGAGTTAAACCTAACATGTAGAAACCAGGGTAACACAGCCTCTGTGATCCTGCACAGAGAGGCAGATCTGCCGTCCAGGTGACATCATCACCCAGGAGGAAACCCCACCACCTCCTAGAACGAATGGGAAGTGTAAGAACAGACAGTGGGATCACACCCAGCGCTCTGATTTTTTTAACTGAAGGACAGAGTCTGTTTTCTAGAACAAATTATTTTTTTCATTTCCCAGGAAGTTTAAAAATCATTTCAACCACTGCCCACAAAAGATATCTCACAATTCACATCCTAACAATATGTAAATATATAGGTGAATTTTGAGGACCCCAGAAGGGAAAGCATTCAGCTGCTAACCAAAAGGTGGGCAGTTCGAAACCACCAGCAGCTCTGCGGGACAATGATGAGGGAGTTGGCATCCAAAAGATTACAGCCTTGGGGACCCGGGGGCAGCTCTACTCCATCCGCTGTGGTGGACATGGGTAGGAATGGACTCAATGGCTTTGGAAGGGTTTTTCTAATACAAATGTCAGAAAACACCAGAAACAATAAAATGAGAAGAATGAAATGTTTTGTGCCTGCTAGAGTATTACCTGTATAATATACTAATTCTTCCCAGCCATGTTTATGCCACGCTGCATTTCGTATATCTTCCCGGGACTGAAGATCCTTGTAAGCTTAAAAACAATAGGAGAGACTTAAAACCAGAAACACCAGAATGCCTCACATTCTGCCAAGTGGTAGCCCCTCTGTGCTGACGCCACTGGCTATGGAATTTCACCCTGGGCATCAACGCTGAGCTGTCTGGGAGCTGGTTACTGTGGACGAGGGACTGCACTGGACCTGGCGGAAGACACCACCAACCACTATTCTGCTCTTCAGTCCCCTGGGCCCAGGAGCATGACGGTGGGAATAGCAACATTAATGTGGACATAACTAGTCAAAACAACACTGGCTTCAATCTGCGTCCCAGGCAGTGAGGGCAGGTTAAGGCAAGGCCTTCTGAGTCCAGGACTGGACCCGGGGAGAGTGGATGGGATGGTGTGGTGTGACAGGGGAGTTGGAGGCTTGAAAAGACTCTTATCAGTGTACAGAAATGGAAGAGAATGGGGCTCCAGGAGAGACTGTGGTACAAAGCTGTCTGTCGCAGGCCTTGGTTCGACAGTGTAATCTCGGGCACTTTACCAGGGTGTCCGGGCTTTTAATTCCCAGCCCAGGCCAGATCCATCCATTTGCCGGCAGGATGATGCCTCACGCACAGCCTGGTACATCCACCACCCAGGCTCCCCCTCGCATCTCGTTTCTGTCTGAGACTCACGTTTCTCCCCAGGACCCTTCCTTCCACCTGTGAGGAAGCCTGCTCCTGCCAACCTCTCATCTCAAGCCAACTAAAACCTAAACCACCTCTGACTAGTCACGGGCTATGGAGCCCTGGTGGTGTGGGCCATGGAGCCACTCTCTGAAGAGTTGGCGGTTCGATTCCACCAGCTGCTCCGCAGAAGAACAGTCAGCAGTCTTCTCCCATAAAGATTTACAGCCTCAGTGAGCCGATGAGGCTCCCCACGAGTCGGAAACAACTCGGCAGCAGTGGCTTTGGTCCTGGTTTTATCAGTGGGGCAAGGAGTTCATTCTCCCCCCCCCCCCCGCCCCCGGATTGGTGCCTCCTGTTTCTTGCCTCCTCCTCCCCATTCCCCCTACTCTCCTCATCAATTCACCCACAGGCCATGGCACTGGGGACCTGGCACTGTTGACCTCTGCAGTCCCTCAGAGACCACCACTTAGCTTTCTGCTGGGACCGGAGCTGGTGCAACGGTCAGGGCGTCTACCTGGATATTTGCTCCACCACCCGGTACAACTCCCCTCACAGTGAACCTTGATGCCCCGGAGACCTGAAAAGCTGAGGAACAGACACGTACCCCAGAGATGGTGCACCATATACAGCTGGCCGATCTGAGAGAAGAACCCGCCCACGGCTTCGTTGCTGTCCTGCCGGAAGCGAATGGCTCGGGCCCTGGAAGCACAGAACCAGGCCTGGTCACTGACCTGTGCTTGTCATTTGTCAGGCGGCATCGAGTCAGCTGACCCCCATGGGACGGAAGAGAACCCTGCCTGGTCTAGCGCCTTCCTCGATCCGCTGTGAGGAGGCCCTGTGTCAACCCATCTCACGAGGGTCGTCCTCTCCTTCCCTGACCCTCTATTTCCCAACCAGGACTGGTCCCCAGCCTGACGACGTGCCCGAAGGGTGCGAACGAGCTTCTCAATCCCTGCTTCCACAGAGCAGTCTGGCCGCAGCTCTTCCAAGACAGGCCCATCCTTGACTTTAAACAGGACCAGGACTTTAAACAGGTTTGAAAGAGCCAGTAGATGGAGCACAGCCTCAGAATGACGTCCAAGTGACGTCTGTGGAACAGGTGGGTGCCCACGGGTAGCACAGCAGTTGTTTTCAGAGCTGTGGGCGGGCTCTGAGGGGAGCACTATGACCACACGTCAGCCTGAAGACGCGAGTAGGGCTTCACAGTGGCACCCACTGTCATGGGCGACAGGCCGGCTGACCCTGAGTGACTTCCCCAGAGGACGTGTGGGGAGAAAGTGGGGGTGCACCAGGACACAGGACCCCCAGGATGCCTGAGGTGAGGCCCCTCTCACACAGCAGGGCAAGGAGCACTACAGCTTGAGGAAGGAAGCACGGGTGCTCCAGGAGGGAGGACTACAGCTTCAGGGAGGCAGCAGGCATGCTCCAGGAGGGAGGACTACTGTTTCAGGGAGGAAGCACGGGTGTTTGAGGACTTTGCTGTAGTCTAATGAGTCCTCTTGGCATGGTGAGTTACAGATTGGGCTGTTAGTCAAAAGGTGAGCAGTTCTAATCCACCCAGTACATCAGGGGAGAAAGACAGACTGTCAGCTCCCATAGAGCCTTTAAAACCCAATGGAGAAAAAAACCCAGAAACCCAATGAAGAAAAACAAGGTATACGAACTTTGTAAATAAACCAGAGTATAAAATAAAAACAAACAAACAAAACTCAGTGAAGGGTCATCACCAGGCAGAACTGACTAGCTGGCAGTGGGTCTGGTTTGGTGGGTTTTCCCTCTGCATCCACAGAATGGTTGGACGAGGCTTGAGTCACGCACCAGCAGAGTCCCGTCCAGGAGACGTCACGGGCGCCGTGCTCCCCTCTGCTCCGGGGACTCACAGGGTAGATCCCAGCCACTTCCCAAGGGCTTACAGGCCCTCGCTGCTGCCCCCAATTAACCACATGTAGCACCACATTGTTCCACGTCATGTTTGGAATTCAGTGCCCAATATTTTCACCAAAATTACAAGTCCCATCGGCAAATTACTGAAATTAAATTAATCACTTTAATGTGCACTTTAACTCAGATAAGTTCTGCCACCCCACCGTAATGGGAACTCAGGATTATTCGTGTCATTCTGGATTTTCAAATTGAGTCACAGGAGGCAAAGAAAACGTACTTGCCACGGCCTGGGAGCAGTCAGAAATGTGAGCTGCGGGCAAAGCCACCATCTCAAAGTCACCTATGTGCTGAGATGTAAATTGCGAATTGGGTGCTGAGCTGACTTTGTTAATAATTTGAAAAAGGAAAAATAATTTGCTACTTCCTTCTGGATTTTGGGGCTATAAGACTTAATCAACCAAAAGTAAAAGAGTAAAAAAAAAAACCACTCTGGGTTTCCCAGCCTCCTTTCTGAGAACAACTGGTAGATTCAAACTTCTGACCTTTGGGTTACCAGTCCAACACATACCATACTACTCTCATTAATGAAAAAAAAAAATCAGTAACTTGCCAAAATCCAAGCAATGAATAGACTAGGAAACTACATTATTACAATTCTAGGCTAAAGAAGGGAGTAAAGCTATAAACAAAAAGACCCTTAAGAAAGTGGTACCATAGTGGAGAAATGTCAGGTTGCTAACCGAAAGGTCAGCAGTTCAAATCCACTAGTGAAAAAAAGTGAAGCAGCTCCGCCAAGCTGCAATGTTTACATGACAAGAGCCAGTTTTTTAAAAAGACCACTCTTCAACAATTACTTGCCACAGCCTTCAGCTCGATTGAGGGTGTGCTAAAAACAGAGTCCTTAACTTTCAGGGACGGATAATGCAGTATTTATGCATTCAGCGGTACGTATGTCTGAGAAAGGGAGCTCTGGTGGCCTAGTGGGGAGAAACTATGCAACAATCTTACATGGCGTGTGTGAGAACTGCTTCCAAACAATCCGGGTTTGGGGAAGGACACAGTGCAAACAAGACTGGACATAAGCTGATAACCGCTGATGGTCAGTAACAGATGGAGGCAGTCCCCAGTGTATTTATGACCCGCCCCAGCTTTGTATGCATTCAAAGGCGCCCTGGTCAGGTTTGAATCTACGGGTCACTCTGCAGGAGGGAATCCAAAGTCTCGTCTCATAAATATTTACAGTTTTGGAAAACTGAGGGGGGTTGCTATGAGCTGGAATGATAGTTATTGGTTTGGGTGTTTGTGGGGGATTGTAATATCTGTTAAAAAGATTCCCTAATAAAACAAAATCAAAACCAACAGTTTAGTGTCATGAGTCAAAGCATTATCTCCAGATTTTACATCTCAAATTACCACGGTGACCTGAACTAACCTGTTGATAAGACTTAGGAGCTCGGGTCTGTCACTTACTCACCAGTAATTGCCCCACTCGATCATGGTTCCGGGCTGCAAAGAGAGGGGGTCGCGTTTGTTAGTTTTCCTATGAAGAATTGTGGAAGCAGAAGTGTAGAAAACAGCAAGAAAAGCTACTCCAAACCCAATATCTGACTTTTAAAGATGAGAAACAAAATAGAATCACTCCCTGTGGTTATGCCTACTCCCAAGCTGGACACAGATTCTGCAGCTCGCTGCACAAGACCCCGGACACGCAATGTACAGGCAAGCCATTGTTTCCTGGTTAGCGAGTCCAGATAGGCCATCCTCAGATGTACTGAATCTTAACTAAACTTGCGTAAACATCCATCTAGGCATGACTGTGAAATCAATGAGAACTCCAAGTATAACTGACAAGGACACAGTCACATTATTTTCCAAGTGAAAACATGAAGTGGTGACTACTGGCCATGTTGCTATCCGAGGTGAGGTCCTTCTAGCACTCCCTTAGCCTGGCCACGGCTTCCGGGTGTGACCGACTGTTGCTCCCTTCCACCCTCACAACGCGCTACAACCCGAAAGGTATTATTATTATTAGCTGTTCCATTTCCATGATGCTCTGTTGTACCTAGTCCTGCATTTCAGATCCTTCCTCTCAAAGAGCAGGAATGCGACACGGAAATATGTTAAGTAGCAGACAATACATGTCAGACTCTGAAAAACTCTAAGAGCTTAGCAGAAAGAAAAAAAAAGAACTTAGCAGGAGAGAAGGCCTGAGAAAGGAAAAGAGGGAAAAAGTAAAAAAATCAAATAAGAGAAGAAAGATGGGGGGGGTGTAGAAATAAGTTGAATAATAATATAATGCTACCCATCAATAAACAAACAGAAAAACTATGATACATTTACACAATGGAATACTACGCACTGATGAAAAACAATGAAATGGTAAAATATTACACAACATCGGGGAGCCTTGAGGACATTATGGTAAGTGAAATATCTCAGTCACAAAAGGACAAATACGGCATAACTCTGCTGTTATAAAATAGGACACACATGGGGGAGAGTTGGGGAAGAAATCGGAAAATGTGTAGATACATAATGAAAACGACATTGGAACAGATGAGGGGAAGAACTGTCTGAAAGGAATATATGATTACGCATTACATGTATGTGAACAATCTCAGGCAAGTGGTGCATTGCTGGGTGAGCTAGGGAGGGGAAGTGGAGGGAGGCAGAAAATATGCAACAATAAATTAGAAAAGAAAATTTTTAACTTTTAATTTTTATTTTTTATTTTTGTGTGAGTGTACCGTCAAATCAGATCTGACTGGTACAGGAGGAGACTGTCCCTCCTTTTTCCGGCAGAGCATCTGGTGGATTCGAACCGTGTGCCTCTGGGATTGTAGTTGCAGCTCTTTGCCACTAGGCCACCAGAGCTCCCCGTGAAAAGAAAATTTTTAAAAAGCAACCAAAACATATAATGCTGATTAATATACTAAAATGACATTAAAGTACAGACTGTCACTAATGGAATGTGTTAGTGGGTGCCATGCCTCTCCCCAGAGGACAGGAGGCAATGCCCCAGGTCTGGCCTCATACTCACTCGGAGTTGGTAAGACCTGAGCTCGTATATGTTGGGTCCTGATCGGGGCACAGGCTCGTTCCAGAAGCTGAACTCCAGCAGCAGCTGATTCTTCCTGGACAGGAGCATGTCACTTCGTGCCTTCCGGAATGCCACAAATTCCTTTGAGTTAAAAGAGAGAAAAAAAGGCAACTGTGACCTCTTCTAATACTCATAAATATTCAAAAATAAACCTCCTTTAACCCACAGCTGCCCAGGCAATTCGCATGACACCCTCACACTGTTTCCTAGACTGTAATCTCCATGTGAGGAGACAGCTCGTCCTTCCAAGGGCGCTGATGGATTCAAACTATCAACTTTTCAGTAAACAGCCTAACATGATACATGCGATGCCCCTGGGCTCCTTAAACCCACTTCAGTAAGCCTTGTATGACTGTGGGCTGCACACACTGTAACAGAATACTTTCCAAAATGACCAGGTCCTTGAATTGGCTCAGACGCGTGGCACCCCACAGGAGCGCCGATGGGTTTAAATAGAGGGTCTTTCGGAAGCTGATTGCCAGGGCTTTTGGACTTGAACCACCAACCTTTGGGCTAGCAGCTGAGTGTGTTAGTGACTTGTGCCATCGAGAACTCCCTGTCATAAACACTATCATGGACATATCCCATTGGCCTGGGAAAGAGCTAGTCAACATCTGTTAAACCAACATAATGACAAAAATAGCAGCCTTTTTTGCTCTCAAGGGTCCAGGTTTAGAGGACAAACTAAGCAGCCACCTAAAATATTATATAGGTGAAAATTTAAAACACATTTCATTCCCTGGGTTTTTAGATTCTCCTAGAACAGCTTGGCAGAAACCGTGGTTCAAGACGTTGGCTGCTAACCCACTAGCCACTCTGCAGGAGAAAGACAAAGCAATTTCCTTCCACTAAGATTTACAGCTGGATGCAGGTAGGAGAAAGACAGAAGGATTAATGGAAATGAGACTCACAGGGAAGAAGTGGGAAATGCACAATTACACCGTGGGTATTGTAATTAATGTTATAAAAGAAAAGTTATTTAAAAAAGAAAAGCAAGTATGAATGGTTGAATGAAAAACCAATTTGCTCTGTACATTTTCACACAAATCACAATGAAAAATAGTTTAAAAAAAGGATACAACCTCGGAAACACCACAGGGCATTTGTTTATTTTATTTTTTTAAAATTTTTTTTATTTTATTATTTTTATGTGCGTGTACCGTCAAATCAGATCTGACTGGTACAGGAGGAGATTGTCCCTCCTCTCCCAGCAGAGCATCTGGTGGATTCGAACCATGCTCCTCTGGGATTGCAGTTGCAGCTCCTTGCCACTAGGCCACCAGGACTCCCCAACCACAGGGCATTTGTAAAGTCTCAAAAGGTCGCTGAGTCAGAATGAACTTGATGGCAATGGGGAACAGAGCTTGATGGAAGGGGTGACATCAGCTCAACTCACTGCTGAAAAGTCAGAACCGACTCCTAGTGGACCCTCCAGGGGGTTTTCAGAAGCTGTACGCTGCACGGGAAGAGAATGCCCATCTCTCTCCGGCTGAGCAGCTCATGGACTTGAACCCCCAGAGGGGCAAAGCTGTTCAGCTAACAGTACAGCTCCCTGGAGACCACTCACCAGAGCTCCCGGGGGGGCCTGGATTCCCCCCAACGACAGACGAATCCAAAGCACCGGGAGTTAAGTTTTTAGTCTTTCTGAACGACATACGAGGGAGCTGAGGCGGCACAGTCCGTACTGAGCTGGGCACTGAGCCCAAGGCAGTGTCTCTGGTGGCTGGAAAGAGGGGTGGTCGCCTCCTGTTGTGATCGCAGCCTTGGAAACCTGACGGGGCGGAGGGTGGGGGCCCGCACTACATCGGAATCAACTTTATGGCCGTGAGTTTGAGTTTTCTGACCATGTATGGCGACCGGGGTGCTCTGTAGAGGCGAAGATGGGGACACCTGTCTCACAAACTTCGGGCATGTTGTCAGAAGGTGCCAGTTCTTGGGAAAAGACACCATATGGGGCAAGGTGGAGGGTCAGAGAAAGAAAGAAGGACGCTCAACAAGCTGGACAGACAGAGTGACTGTAACAGTGGCGTGCGGACGATGCAGGGTCGTGCAATATTCTGGTCTGTTGCTCGCGGGGCCACCTTGAGCCCAAGCTGACTAGACGTGGCTTAAACTCTGAGTGTCCTCTCTGTCAACTTATTAGAGACGTGGTGGTCAAGGTAGAAAATTAGAGCAAGGTTAAAACGAAAGAGTGTGGGCAACCCTGCTGGACAAGGCAGGGCTGAGAGCTTCTCTCGTGCTGCCCGACCAGCTCCAGAAGACCGGTGTGTCAGTTCCAACGTGGAGTTCGCTCTTACAGTAACAACTGTTAAATTTTTTTTACAGCAGGAAATTGGCTAATTAAGGTTTAGATGTTGAACTCAAGAGTTCAAAATTATACTTTTTCTACCACAAAAAATTTAAACAAAAACCAATGGTCAGAGTAATTTAATTTTACAACACTTCATCTCACTTTCTTTGGGCCAATTCCCTCAAGAAGGACATTGTGCTTGGAAAAGTAGAGGGTTGGGACTAGAGAGAAAGACCCCCGACGAGATTAAATGGCTGAGGGCTTGACCATGACAGAGACTGCAGGACGGGACAGGACCAGGCTCAGCTCTGTTGTTCAGAGTCACTATGAGTCATTGTGGACATGAGGCCCCCAAACAACAAAGAACACTCACATCTGGTCATCATCAAGTCAACTGCAACTCACAGCAATGGTTCTAGACTAACATATACCAAACAAGTGTCTTTTTCAGAAACATTACCTGATTTTCTCTGAGTTTATTCATCACCTCTGTGAGGGCTGGGTAGCCACCTTCATACCTCCAGAGATGGACTGAAACAGAGGTTGAAAGATCGCATGCATTAGAGTTTCGTGATACGCTGACCTCGACCATATCTAGAGGTTCCCACTAATAACACAGCACCAACTGTCACATGCCAGGTGCTGGCCTGTGAATTACACCACACAGTTTCAGCACTAGATTTAAACAATGAAAAACGTCGTTTGTGAATGAATTTATGAGAATGACTTTAACGGTGATGTAACATGATACTGACGCTCGGAAAGCTCTGATGATAGCAAACAGCATTACTTCAGGTGACTACGTAAGCGGTTACAATGAAGGTTTAAGGAGCAAGGGTTTATTCCAGAGACGGCCGCTTCCTACCAGCTTGATCCTGCTCGCCATACCACGTGTTCCAAGTCCCCACCAAAGTACAAGGGTAATGTTTATCTTCGTGAATCTTTGGCAACACCTCTTGACTTAAAGAGAAGAGACAGCAAGACTAATTAAACAACCAGCAAAATGTGACTCGGTTAACAACACATGCTTAGGAAAAAGCAAAAAGCCAGCAACTCCCCTCCATGCTCTGACCACCGGCGGAGGGACAGTTTTACGCTAAAACAACATGCAGGCGTCACCCCTTTGAGTTTGTTTACATTGTGCCACACTGCGTTATGGGCAGCTCCATGTCTGGTCCTTGACTATCTGGACCAGCTGTAAGCCACTAAAACCTAAAAATGACAAAAATGACTCCAAGGAGTCCCGAAACTCTGGACCCCCGGGTCTACTATATCAGGGAGACGGGAAACTCAAAGAGCTGCAGGATGGGATGCTGATAAAAGCTAATTTCTGCTGCTTCCAAAGGTAGGAGAGTTGAGAGAAGCCGGAATAGGAAGAGAAGGAGATGGAAAAAATTGGAATGATGGAAAAGGAACAGGGTGAGGCTTAGCAGGGGGATAGACATACACCAGCAGGCCACCGGCAGGCAGAGGCCGGGGAGCGGAGGACAAACTGGCCTGCAGGAAGGAGGAAGATGGGGCGGGAACACGGACTGGCAGCCACTCCAAGCCCAGCAGTCCCGCGGGCCATCAGAGGACCACACAGCAAAGATTCAGCGGGCAGCGCAATCTAAGCAGCTGAGGGACTAGCGGTGTATCAGGCGTCCCGCCTCAAACGTGGTTCTGCGTGCTGTCCCCACACGTGCAGCAGCTAAACCCAGGCACGAGCGCTGCTGATCAGGGTAACAGGGTGTCACAGCAGGGTAACGGGGTGTCACAGCAGAGCCTGATTCCATGCAAACCCGCCAGTGTCCACGTTCTGGACAAAGGCAGGAGAGGAGGCGCAACTGTGCCAGGCCTTAGATGAACCCTGAAGCCGTATGCTTTTCAGAGAACATGCGAATCGTGGAAAACTGAGTGAAACCAATTCACTCAAGTAATCAAAAGGGTCTCAGGGGTCTCAAGGGGGAGCTATTCAAATTATTTGAGGCCACTTGAGTGAAAGTAAGCAAGTGACCGCCACCAGGTGCCGGGCTGCCAGGACTGACGGTATAAGAAGAGTCAGCAGAGCAAAGCTCCCAGTGGTCCGAGAGCTGCAACCACCCACGCCCAGGCCCGAGGACAATGATCGTGGCGTGTCCGTGGGTGGTGCAGATGGTTAGTGCACCTCAGAAGGGAGGCCTGGCCATGCTCTTGATAAAACCAGGCCCACAGACGCTTATGGAGCAAGGCTCCATTCTGACACACAGGGGACCCTGAAATCGACGTGACAGTAACGGCTGCCTGCTGGAACAACGACCAACGATGGGTGGTTCTTTAAGGGTGGCAGTGCCTTCTGAAATGAAGACCTGATTACACATATCTGATGCCTACGCTGTGAGGGTGCAGAAACAGCATGGGACTGATGGAGGCTGGGGCTGGGGCAGAGGAGGCAGGAAGGTGAGCTGGGAGTGGGTTTCCTTTATGCACAGACGTGAGTGGGGAGTCAACCTCGCTGATATGGGGCCGATGTGGAGGAGAAGGGACAGCACAACCCAGGGGGCCCAGAAGAGGGAGGGGAGCGGACTGGACAGTGGCCAGGGGTCTAGCTACCACTCAGTCCAGAGCCAGGCCGATCTCCTCTGCCGAGGGCCCCAGGCATATTCTTCCTTGGAGAGTCCTGGCCCAGTCCAAGTGGAGACTGCAAAGTGGGCAATGCTCACCCAGAACTGGGGGGGAGGGGGTCCCCACTATGCCAGGCAGGAGTTAACCCTTTACATACTAGAAACAAGGAGCTGCGGGAAGCATCAGACATGGGAAGAGCTTGGGAAGGAAGGGTCAGGACTCAAGACTGGAGACACGGGGGCAGCTGGCACCCCAGGGGTCACCCCGGAAGCCGACTGGGATCAGGGCTCCACGGGCTAGGGTGGGAGGCGGAAAAGGAGTAAGCAGAGAACCCTGGTGTGAAGACACACCATGGGAAGAACACACAGTCCTGAGAGACTCCTGAGTCACCAAGTGCCCAGGGAGGCCTGATGTGACACCTGGGGAGAGTCGCAGCCAGGGCACTGGAGAGAGAGGTTGGAAACTCAATGGAAACATGTGACAGAAAGCCCGAAATCCACACCCAGAATCTAGTAGCTAAAGCAAAGACAGGAACAGCAACCCAGGGGAACAGCAGAGAGAAAAAGCCTGCTGTCTGGGGAGACCTGGAGACCAGCAGGTTCCAGGGTATTTTCCAAAAGAGACTGCCAAGGTCTGTGGGAAGTCCTCTGCAGCTGTTCCACGGCACCGGGTCTGAATCTACCTGACGCTCTGCAGGAGAGGGATGTATATTCAGGCCTTGGAAACCTGAGGAGGGTCGCCATGTGTTGAAACTGACCACACGGGGTAGTGGGCTTGGTTATCTGGGGTTACATTTCACCAACCACCTTCAGAAAAAGTAAAAAAACCACAGCCATGAAACTACAACTGGGGTCTGGTTTTGAAAAGCTCTGGTGTTGGTTCTGGTGATAAGCCACTTGCCCTCTTAGGAGGATGGCTGGCATGAAGGCCACGACCTTTCTCAAATTAAATCCATCTCAGGCATAACCCACTTATGGTCAGAGATAACATGAGGCTGCTGGAGACGGGGGGCTGGGAAAGAGGAACTCTGGAAGTGAACTGGGATGGAGAGACGGGGGCTGGGAAACAGGAACTCTGGAAGTGAACTGGGATGGGGTGTCCGTTCTGCTACATGGGCAGGAAGTCAACCTCCCGGCCTTGGAGCCAGTTTGGCAGAGGGACACTAAAATCCGAATTCTGCGAATGTATTTAAGAGGAGACTCCTGTGTAACTCTACGATCATAAGTTCTTATTTACATTCTCTGCACTCCGTAAGAGCTTCTGGCCCTCGGATCACGAAGGTCAGCAGAACTGACCGCGCTCTGGAGCGGCAGACGTGGGAGGGGCTGGCAGACATGAGTTTATGTACATGACTTCCATGGGGTCATTTCACTTGGGAGAAACCTGGACTCCAGGGAGGTCCCAGCGGTGTGAACTCTAACCCCTGACACTGGAGATGGAATGGCTTTCAGCGCCCGCACGTGGGGAGGTGTGGGGAGAAGAGTCAAGCACTGGGAGAGGAGCTGGACAAGTTGGGGGGCCTGAGAGGTTCCTTCCACCTAAGAGTCTGCTCACCGTCTCAGGGGCATTTGGCTACGTGGTGACTTAGCTGAGCGAGAGCTTGGAAGCAAAAGAGTCTTGGCCCCCAACCCCACACAGCACTCCAGTAAGTCCAAACAACACGAAACTCGCTAATATTGTCATTATTGTTATTTCTCCCCAAGTAAAGGACAGCTTGGTATACACACCAAATTTTGTTGTAAGCTTCTAGGCACTCCGGCTTAACATTGTGAACTGAAACAAAAGAAAATGCAACGATAAACTTGTGAACCACGGGGCAGATGGGCGAACCTGGGGCCAGCACGCCCGCCACTCACACTGCAGCTTGTACAGGCTGCTGGTCTCCCTTTTGGCCAGGAGGTTGGAGTGGGCGTCTTTCCTCGGGTCCACCTTCCGGACAAATAAGGACTTCAGCCAGCTGTCTTCTCGAGGCCTCACACTGGAGGAGGCCAAATCCCTGCAGGAGGAGAAATGGGATCTTTTGAGTCACAGTGAGGTGTGGGGACCTTGGGTTTTTCTGTGACGTCGTTGGTCCACAAGCACACAGGGACACCGGTTCTAGGCCCTCCTCCAGAAGCTAACACAAACATCACCAGGGTCTGTCCACTCCGTCCCTTCGGCGCTGGGCACACAGCAAACAGCGGCAGGGGACACGAAAAAGGATGGTGCAGACGGAGCCTCAGGTCTGTCTCAGAAACTTCAACTGGGTGTTTGTTCACCAGAGCAATCAGCGACATGGGGAATAAGCAGGGGATAGGAAACCGATTCCTTCTTTAAAAAGAAAGCCGAAGGGGTCCGTGAAACACAGTCAAAGGAAAAATTCACATGTGCTTTGAATCCCAGACTAGGAGTGGGAAGGGGGACCCAACAAACCATCAGGCTGGGTAGGAGGAAGCATCAGTGACAAAGAGGAAAACCTACACACCCATGTTCACCACGGCTTTGTTCACAATAGCAAAGAGTTCAAAACAACCCAAGTGCTCATCAACAAACGAATGGATAGAGAAGCTGTGGTATATTCACACAATGGATTACTATGCTGCATAGGAAAAACAAGGAACCCATGAAATATTATTCAAAATGGGTGACCCTGGAGGACATTATGCTGAGTGAAATATCTCAGTCACAAAAGGACAAATATTGCATAGTGCCAGTGCTGTAAAATGGGACTGACATCGGGGTTGGGGGGGAGACTGAGAAAAATGGGATAAATAATGTATACTGCATTGAAACAGATGAGGGGGAAAACTGTTTAAAAGGGTTATGTGATTAGGTATTATTGTCATGACAGGAGTCCAGAACGAAGGCTGCGTAGTGGAGTGGACTTGGGGGGAGGGATTGTATAACAAAAAATAAAAAAAAAAGAAAAAGAGGGAGACCCTCAACAAGGTGGGCAGACACAGTGACTTTAACAGCAGGTGCAAACACTGTGACTGAGGACGGTGGCGGAGGGGGCAGTGGTTCAGTCTGTCGTTGGAGGGTTGCCAGAAACCCAGAGGACTCCCGCACCTCACAAGCACATTCCTCCATCTCCTTCCCTCCCCTGCCTGCCTGTCTGCGTGTTTCCTGACCTATTTGTCCTTGGTAATGGTTATCCAAGCTGCCTGGACAGGGGCAAAAACAGGAAAGCAGACTGTATTGAACTACCGTGTATGGGTAACTCTGTGCACCTGTTTAAACACAGCTCACTGCAGGGTATTAACCATTAGCTGTTAGCCCCCAAAGCAGGAAGCCAGGCTGGCTGGAAGGCGTGCATATTAGAAATGTAAGACAAGATACTGGGTAGGACACGTGCCCATATTGGCCCAATAGACCCCAGGTGCATAGTTTTACACCAGGTATTCATCAAGAACGTTCATTATAGCCTGGTTTCCACTTTCGCCTCAAACAGACAATGCGGATACTCATTAACTACAACCCAATCCCAAACCCATGCAGTCCAGTTGGTTCTGACACACATCTTTTCTTATCTATTTGCCTCCTCTCCCCATGTGTACATGTATGCAATTTTTATAATTAATCTCTATAAAAGCTCATGCTTAAGTCTCCTCATAGGTAAGGTAACCCCTGATAACTATTGAAAAGTAGATCCTGAAAATGAGAATTTGGTTGTGACTCATCCTTCTTCCCAGCTCCATACAAGGGGCCTTGGTGTGGTGCAACCCCTGTGGGAGGCAGTGTGGCGCTTTCTCAAAAAGTTGCAAATAGAAATACCATTTGACCCAGCAATTCCACTACTGGGAATATACCCCAAAGAGACCACAACTGCCATCCAAGCAGATATATGCACATACATGTTTACTGTGGCTTTGTTCACAATAGCAAGGAGTTGGAAACAACCTAAGTCCCATCAACAAACGAATGGATAGAGAAGCTGTGGTATGGTCACACAATGGAATACTACGGTGCATTGAAAAAAAAGGAACTCATGTAATATTATTCAAAATGGGTGAGCCTGGAGGACACTATGCTGAGTGAAGTATCTCAGTCACAAAAGGACAAATACTGCATGGTGCCATTGCTGTAAAACAGGACTGACATCGGGGTTGGGAGGGAGACTGAGAAAGATGGGTTCAATAATGTATACTGCATTGAAAAAGATGAGGGAGAAAACTGTTGAAAAGGGATATGTGATTAGGTATTACTGTCATCACGGGAGTCCAGAGCAAAGGCTGCATAGTGGAGTGGACCTGGGGGGAGGGATTGTAAAACAATGAAGGAATTTTTCTTTTACTTTTCCAAGAGGGTGGTGTACTGGGGAGGGAGAGAAAAGTGCAACAATGAGTGAACGGAAATCTACAGTCTGTAAATTTTCATTGAAATTAATAATAAAAAAAATTTTTTTAAACCCAAGGATCCCTGGTGGCACAGTGGTCAAAACATTCACCTGCGAACCACAGGCTGCCAGTTTGAATCCTCTGCTGCTCTGAGAGAGACAGATGCATGGTCTCGGAAACCCGATGGGGAAGTTTCTGTGTTCTAAGATCTCAGAGTCAGATTGGATTGACTTACATACATGGAGGGCCCTTGTATTTAAAACTCAGTTGGGCCTGAGGACCTAGTGGTGTTATACTTTGGGGGAACTTTCTTCTAAGTTCTACAGGACTCTTCTGTCAATTTGCTGCACTGAGGTAACTGGGGTTTGCTGTGATGCTGAACCTTGTGGCACTGAAGGGTCAAATGCCATAATGGCTGCCAAGAGTGGACAGTGTTTGGTGGAGCTCTCAGTTTAAGAGAGGTTTGGAAGCAGGAGTAGCATCCACTTCCTAAACCACATGCCTCTGGAAACTCTATGAACTTGGAGAAACAACAATAGTTACAGAAAGGCTTCAGGCCTTATGTTCATAGGGTTGCCATGAGTCGTGCTCGACTCGACAGCAATCAACAGCTTAGCAGTGTTGTCATTCTAATGCCACAGAACCATGACCAAGAACAAACTCTGCTGTCTACATTTTAATTTGTAGTTGGTGTTTTTTTTTAATTTAATTTTATTATTTTTTTGTATGTACTGTCAAATCTGATCTGACTGGTACAGGAGGAGATTGCCCCTCCTTCTCCAGCAGAGCACCTGTAGTTTGTAGTTTTTTGTGATGCTATTCTGACTTGTGAGAGATATTATTATAAAAAGGAGCTCCGTTCAGTCCAAAACTATCCTTTGATCAGTTTCCTGAATTCACTCACTACCTAAACTCAAAGGTAGTTTGAGGAACTCAAAGGTTCAAATCCACCAGCTGCTCTGAGGGCTACAGATGGACAATCTCCTTCTGTGTGACTCACAGTGAACAAGACCTCATTTATGTAGCAAACATAGAAGTAAGGGGAATAAGCAAATGCTCTTACTTTTCCAGCTGGAGGGAGAGCTATGAGTTGTTTCAACAATTTTTTTTTTAAAAAAGGAGCTCCATTGACTTTTTTAAAAAGGAAATGTTCAAACACACAAAATCGGCCTTTAAAAAAGTTAATGATTTCCTTTTTCTTAAATTAAAAGACTGTCTTTACTGAGGGGAAAAAAATTAGCTTAGTAATATCTGCTCACTGCATCAACAAATCAATTTATTAAACCCACTGCCTCAGAGTAGATTCTCTGCATTGGGTTCCAGAGGAGCTGTCAATCTTTAAAGGGAAGAAATCACCTGTCTTTTTCCCCCTAAGAGCAGCCAGTGTTTTCGAACTGCTAACAGTTATTTCTTCCAAATCCTCCCTCTGTAATGAGCTTCTCCCCCAGGTTGAACTGCCCACAAGCCAAGCTGTGTCCTTCTTGACGGCACTGTGTTGAACCCACACGGCCCCTTCTGAATCCACATTTCTGCACAATCCCTTTCCTACTGAAGGAGCCGTGGTGATTGAGACTGCTAACTGGAAGGTCAAAGGTCAGCATTTCAAACCTACAGGCTGCTCTGCGGGAGAGAAACCTGGTGATCTGGTCCTGTGAGGATTACTGGAAACCCCACAGGCAGCTCCACTGGGTTCAACTCTACAGGGTCAGGATCAGCTGGGCTGCGGGCAGAGGCTGGTTTGCTGCGTGGCCTCCATCTCCAGCTGGGGCCCTCACAGCCTACAGTTTCAGATGATCTTGAACCTGTCTATCCACACACAGATTATCCTTCGTGCCCTTTGCTGGACCATGCAGGAGGAGCGGTAACGCACTTGGATTTTAAATGGTCCAGGGTCACGATCCCATCCAGGGCTTCTAAGAAGGCCCGGGTGCTGGCAGGAAAGAGACTCTCTGGGATAATCTCTGCACAAACCCTGCTTTCTGGAGCAGTTTCTACAAGCTCAATGAGAAGATTTTTGAATAATGGGCATTTTCAAAGATAAACCGTAACTCTTATAAATGATCGCCCAGAGGTCTCCAAGACTGTAAATCTTTGTAAACAATTTCTGTCTCTTTCTCCCTCAGAACAGGTGGGGGCTCAGACCATGAACATTCTGGTCTGCACCTGAGTATATTAACCACTGCACCACCAAGGTTTAAAGCACTTATAGTACCTACTATATGGCAAGCAGTTAAGAAAATAATTTTTTTAATTTAATTTTATTTTTTAAATTTATTTATTTTTCATTTCAATGAACATCTACAGAGATTTTGGAATTCCATTCATTCATTGGTGCACTCAAGAAAATAAAATTTTTGTGATGACAGACTGTAAAATGCAGTTCTTAAAATTTTAAGAGGTTAAAAAGACAAATTTTTTTTTAAATTTGAGATGAAATATAAAACTATGCTTTTGCAAAAATTAACATCATACTGTGTCTCCTGTCTTCAATTCAACCTTTTGTCCTTAGTAAGCTCACCATCAACAAGGTAATTCTCCAAGTGAACCCTCCTCCCTGCCATCCAGTCCTGTGAAGACACCAGTGAGTCATTTTGCACCCGGCTCCCCAGCTGGGATTGCACCCCAAATTTTCATTTTGAAAAACTTTACACACAGGGGTGCTGCACAAACATTAAGGCAGGTCCCAGTGCCGAGTCTTTTGAAAGCAAGGGGTGTGTCATGATACTTTACATCTAAATATTTCATCAGCAAGCATCTCTTAAGACTGAAAACAAAACCACAATACTTAAGAAGAATCCCTTTAGCTCTAAAGTCTACTCTGTGATAGTAAAAAGTCCCAACTACCCCTAGAGGTTTTCTGAGAGAGAAAGAAGGCCTTTGAGCAGCCCAAACCTTTTGCACTGGACTAGTAACGTCACTAATGGCAAAGTAGATTGCGCTGCTCACCCAATGGTCAGAGGTTCAAATCCACCAGTAGGTCCATAGGAGAGAGCTGGGCAGTGTCCTCCCAGAAAGATTTACAGCCTTGGAAACCTGATGGAGAATCATTCCGAGCTGCACTTGACTCAAAGGGAGTGGGTCTGGGTTTATAGCCAAATGAAAGGTTCACAGTGCAAACGCAGCCAAGGGCAGAAAGGCCTAAAGATCTGGTCTCATGAAGATTACTAGTTGAGAAGATGCAATGGTGAGGTTCTGCACTGCTGCCTCTGGGTGCTTGAGTCGGACTTGACTCAGCGGGACAGGAAGAGGGAAGCAGGCTCAGGGTTCACACAAGGGCCACGTCTGGGAGGTCTTTCTAAGATGAAAGTCTTGCACAGAATCCCTCAGTCTCACGAGAGACCAACAGCTTCCAAGGGAGCTCTGATGGTCTAGTGGCAAGAAGCTGTGCTGCAAGCCCAAAGGCACGAGGTTCAAATCCACCAGCTGCTCCACTGGAGAAGGAGGGGCAATCTTCTCCTGTGCCAGTCGGATTTGATTCGATGGTACACAAGAAAAGAAAAAAGAAGAAGACCAATGGCTTCCAGTCCACACTCTGGCTAGGCATTCAGAGAAGCCTGCTGAGGACTGAGCTAGGGCAGGGCAGACAGACAGAAGCCAGAACTGACACACCTTGACATGAGAGGGGAGAGCTGACAAATGATGAGACAGGAGAAGACTGAGGAAGAAGAGGAGGAGGAGGGGCTGGGCTGAGGGAGGGAAGCCCTCTGGGTTCCTGGCCTTTCAGGAGACAGAGGGAGCTAAATTCTGACGCATTCAGGGCACCCTGAGGGATGCCAGTGGGTGCCCAGAGGGCCCGTGCTGAGCAGAGCCAAGTACACAGACAGGACTGTCCCAGAGGCCACTCCGCAAGGTCACCATGACACTGTGCTGGCAAGCCCCTGACCTGGCTGACACGCCCTCCTTGAGACGCCTCCTTGGGGACTGTCCCCCAGCACTGACCTCACTGCCAGCACCTGTGACCGGCCTGTAGACGGTGACTGGCCTCAGGCCTCATTCCCCGGCCCGGTCTATCTCTATCCCTCTCTTCCAACAGTCTCATTGATATTGATGGTTTTACAAATATTTTATACAAAAAATTTCAGCCAAAAATTGTGAACAGTACGGATACCTACCTATTGACACCTGTCAACATTTACAGGAGTGGCATCCACTTCCTAAACAACATGTCCCAGAAACTCTATGAACATTGATGTCGATAGTTGGAGAGGGGCTTCAGGCCTTCTGTTCATAAGGTCACTATGAGTCTTGCTCAATTTGAAGGCAATCAACAACAACAACAACAACATATACTGCTCTAGGGAGGTCTGGTGGCTTAGTAGTAAGGAGTTAGCTGATAACTCAAAGGTACATGGTTCAAATCCACCCCTGAAAACCCGTTGGAGGGTTCTGATGTGACGGTACACAACAAGAAGATATGTACTGTTCAAAGAAGCTCTGGTGGTTGAGGGGTGAGGAGCTGTCTGGCAACCTAAAGGTGGTGGTTGTTGTTGTTATGTGCCGTCAAGTCATTTGCAACTCATAGCAACCCTATGTACAACAGCCCTAAACCCTGCTCTATCCTGTGCCAATCGCACTGCCTCTGACACACCCATCCTGATTACCCCAGTCACCGAATCAATCCACCTCATAGAGGGTCTTCTCCTCTTGCGCCGTCCCTCCACCCTCCCAAGCATGATGTCCCTCTCCAAGGACCTATCCCTCCTTGCAACATGCCCAAAGTATGTCAGATGAAGCCCCAGAATCCTTGCCTCCAAGAAGTTGCTTGGTTTAACCCTCTCCAAATGAATCTGTTTTCTTGGCAGTCCATGGTATATTCAATACTCTTCTCCAGCACCACAGCTCAAAAGCTCCTTCTGTCCTCCCTAGTCACTGTCCAACTCTCTGATGCATAACAAGTGATTGCAATGACCATGACCTGTATCAGGTGCACCTTAGTCTACAGAGAGACACCATTGCTATTGAGTACTTTAGAGAGGTCCCTAACAGCAGACTTTCCCATTGCAATAGGTTTTTTGAAAGGTTCATGGTTCAAATCCATCTTTGAAAACCCACTGGAGGGTTCTGACATGACAGTATACAACAACAACAACATATTGCTCAAGGGAGCTCTGGTGCTTGAGTGGTGAGGAGTTGGCACTGCCAACCCACAAGCCTATGGTTCAAATTCACCAGCTGTTTCTTGGGAGAAAGCTTGCGCTCAACGACTAACCTTAAAGGTGAGGGGTCAGAAGCCACTGGAGGTGCCCCAGAAGCAAGGCCTGGGGATTTGCTTCCGCTTCGCGGCAGTTCTCCTCCGTAACACACGTGGTCACCAGAGCCGGCACTGACCAGCTGGCCACAGGTCTGCTTTTCTGACAGACAGTTGCTGATGGTTACCACCCAGTCATTCAAGCTTGTGGCTACCTCTCCTGTGCGGAACAGCACCTGCGACGTGGGCTTTTCAAGGCTGTGACCTTTCAGAAGCAGATCACCAGACCCGGCTTCCAAACTGCTTCTAGGTGGGTTCGAACCGCCAACCTCTTGGATGGTGTTGAGTGCTTCACTGCACCACATGGGGTTTCCTGGATATACAGGTGACCCTTCAACAGCACAGCTTGAATCTGTAGGAGTCCTCTTACACATCAGGCTTTGCTATCGTGTGAGTTAAAATTGTGTGCTTCTTCCATCCACGTGAGCAATTTATCGCTCCAGGAAATGGCATATTGCCGTAAAAAGTGACACTGATGTCTGACTGCACCGTGGGGCGATGCCCCAATCCTCAACTATCCCCTCTCTCATTGCAGTCAATGCAGAACCAATTCACAGCTGAACGTCTGGCTGATTTGAGAGGCTGTAAATCACACAGGAGGAAACTCGGAGCTGCAGCTAGACTTGAACTGCCAGAGGCCTGGCCTTGGGGCAAGAAGCACAGTGCCCTACAAAACCAACTACATTGTACCTACAGCCTAGATGTCACCACTGAGCACCACCTGTTCTCGGGCCTTCTCACCTGAATGGCTCATAACCGTCTCCAAAGCCGACCAGTCCCTCCCCGTGGGCCCATTCCACCTCCCCCATGTCACTAGTAAGCTCCTTGCTGGCACGGTCCTGGTCGTTACATGATGTCCCATCAGCGTTGGCAGCGTCAAGCACATGGTGGACCTGCAGCGTCTGTGCAGTAGACATCACCCACTACACGGTGCCCACGTCCACCAGCTTGATTCCATGACCTCTCCAAAGTCAGGCTGAGCTTTTAAAAACGGAGCCCAGCTGGTGTCACACAGCAGTCTAAACCTGTAAACGTCTGCCATGGCTCTTGGGAGTAAGTCCAAGCTCTCTGACCCGGCCCATGCACCTGGTCACTGCTCCAAGCCAACGTCCTCTCCTCTGGGGCTCCAGCCTCTTGAACTCGAGTTTCCCCTGTGCCCGACACCTTCCCACACACTGTCCCCATAGAGTTTCAGCTTCCAGAAGCGGCTGGACCCCTGGGGACAGGGTCATCAAAGCATTTGGCTGTTCACCAAAAGGTTAGCAGTTGGAAGGCTCCAACCGCTCCGTGTGAGAAGGTGGAGGCAGCCTGCTTCCTCAGAGACCACAGCCTGGGAAGTCTATGGGCTGCTCTACCTCTGCTCCAGGGTCGCTGTGGGCGGGCAGCGGTGGGTGGGCCTAGAAGAGGCTCTCTGCCACTGTGTGTGGAAAAGAACTTGTGCATTTTCTTTCAGTACCTGCCTCAATTGATAAGACTATGGGCAGAAAGAAAGAGGAAGCCCCTCAACGAGATAGACTGGCACAGCGGCCACATCAACGGAGGCAAGAACAACAGTGGCTGGGAGAAGGGAGCTCTGGTGGCCTCGTGGCAAGAAGCTGCGCTGCAATCCTGAAGGTGCACAGTTCAAGTCCACCAGCTGTTCTGCTGCAGGAGAAGGGGCAATCTCCTCCAGTGCCAGTCAGATCCGACTCAACAGTACAGAAGAAAAAAAAAGTGACTGTGAGGACGCCCCACGAATTCTTGACCTACATGGAGCCGCGAAAGATTGCCGTGAGTGAGCGTTACCTCAACAATGCCTAATGATGGGCTTTACCCTCCTAAATGGGTAAAATCCATTGCTATTCATAAATATTCAATTATTTGAGAAGTAGGTTCTTCCTGTTGTTGTTGTCAGCTGTTGAGTTGGATCTGACCTATAGCTGACCCTCCAGTGAGTTTTCAGATAAGAAGAGATTGTCCATCTGCCCATGGAGTTAGTGGATTCAAACCACGTGCCTTTGGAATTATAGCACAGCTTCTTACCACTCGGCTGCCAGAGCTCCCCAAATTATTCTTCCTAGTCCATCTTAATGTAATTTGGAAGTTCTGCTGAAACCTGTCCACCCTGGGTGACCCTATTGGTGTTTGAAATACTAGTGGTAAAGTGTCCAGCATCACAGCAACAGGCAGGCCACTGCAGATGACAAACTGACAGATGAGTGACAGACATCACGCTTGATCAAGGAGAGGGTGATTGAAAAAAGAGGAAGACCCTCAATGAGACAGGTTGACAGCAATGGCTCAAACAGAAATGACTGAGGACAGGGAAGAAAAGGGCGGGGTTTCATTCAGCTGTACATGGGGCTGATAAGAGCTGACGGCACCTTACAGTGGCCTTAAGCCTCTCTCTGAGGATTCCTCCTCCCTGAGAGCTGGGACATAGCCATGTTTTGCTTATATCAACTCCAGAAACCGGAACCAGCTGCCAAGGAGCCGATGGACACTCATGTGTGCAGAGGAACAGATAGCCAGGCCTTTTGTCCTCAATCTCTGAAGCACCAGTCTTTCTCTTAGTAACTTGGTGCTTAACCATTTGCATCACACAAGAACTGTCCAGGCTCCATGAAACTGCATACATCAATACTGATGAGTTAATTTAATTAACTGGGTTTAAGTTGAGATCTGAGCTCTGGGGGCCTAATTGGTCGGAAGCTGGGCTAACCCAATGGTGATCTGGTGTTCGAATCCTCCAGGGCTTCGAGGCAGAAAGGGGCCCAATCTCTCCTCTTGCAATGTACTACTTCCCCCACACTTGCTCTGGTGGCCTAGTGGTAACTAGCTGTGGTGCAATCCCAAAGGCACGAGGTTGGAATCCACGAACTTCTCCGAGGGGAGGTCAGTTAGGAACTGGTTCTGACTCAACTGGCCTACAGTAACAATCAGAACCTCCTGGTGCAATGAGCTGGACTGACATTGAGTCCTCTGAATCTACTTGAAGGAGATGTGAGGTCATGTCTATTTTTCACATTCAAAAACCAAAGCCCATACTTAGAAACAAACAAAACCGACTTGCTGGTGATTCACTTCACAAAGCCCCAACCACTGAAAACCACAGTTCTCCGACACACATGGGGTCACCAGAAGTTACAACTGATCTGACAGCACCGGGTTATACATTCTCAGACTCATTATTTACTTTAAAGCAAAGGTAGTATTTAAACTACTCAAAGTAACTGCAAAACCAAACGCATAGCTATCCAGTCGATTCTAACTCACAGAGCTCCTAAAGGTCTGAGTGAAACTGTCCCGCAGGATTTCCAAGTTTGTAAATCTTTAAGCAGGCAGCCAGCCACATCTTCCGCGGAACAGCTGGTAGGTTTGATCTTTCGGTTAGCAGTTGAGTGTTTAAACATTGTGCCACCAGGGTTCTTTACTCAAAGCAAATCAATGGATGAGTTACAAAGGACTTTAGTTTTTGAACTTGAAAAATGGGCATGAAGGTCAAGGTGATGGATTCAGGAAACCAGACTCCAAAGGGGTTAAAAACAAAGTTTAAACTTGACCTCTCGCTTAACTATTTGGCGCTGACAGTTGTAAACACGTTGTCCTCCACCGCCTGCTTTCAGACAGCACCGTGAGAAGGTCTGCGGGCTGACACCTCCTGAAGCCCCACCAGCATCCCGTCCCCGCGACCACCCGAAGGTGACAGTCGGGAGAAGCCCCTCCGCGGCCGCCCAGCCGAGCGCGGGCCCCGCCGCCCAAGGTCTGCAGGCCCGAGCGCAGGCGGCAGACGTGG